AAAAATAAGGAACAAATATGAAGAAGAAGAAAGAAGATAAATGATTTTTACATATAAAAAAAGTTAGCCGATATTTGTTTATCTAAATTTTCTAACAAAGATTTTTACTCAAATTCATATATAAACCCATTAATTATCAAAAATGATATTCAAAAAATTGAAAGAATTTAATTTTTGAGCTATCAATTTCATTTTGTCATTGATGTAGAAATGAATAACCGCCGGCAAAATTTTCTTTCTTCTTCACTCTTAGTATGAAAATGTATATATATATATTTTTATTTTTATTTTTTATTTTTTTTATTTTTATTTTTAGAAGTTTATCTTCAAATTATTTGAAAAGAATTAGGTTTTTTGATTTGAGAAAGAATGTGTTTTGGGAAGAAGATGAAGATGAAAGGGGGTTGGGTAGAATAGGTTGACATTTTTATTTTTTTCCTTTTCTTTTAAAAAAATTAGATATAAAAAGTGTTTGAAATAATTTTAAACAATTTTTTTTTTTTATAATTTTCAGGGACCAGTGCCACATGTTATTTTTTAATTAGCCATTTTGCCACGTCACCGCAAGTGTATCACACACTCTTCATATATTTTGCCGATTATCAAAAAATGCCTAATAGGAACAATTTTGAATTGGTAAAAGTGTTCAATAGGTACTAGTCTTAGTTGAGGTGTCTAAAGTGAATTAGGCGGACAACTTTAAGGGGCCGCTGATGACTTAAGCCTATTGCTTAAATGCCCAGGTTCGATTCCTTGTAGTGGCATTCTTTTTATTTTAAAATCAGCTCTTTTCTTTCTAGATTTTCTTTTTTTTCCATTTTCACGAATTGTCCTATTTCTAATTTTTCTAAAACAATATTCTTTTTTCAAGATAATTTTTCTTATTGATTTCTTTCGCTATCTTATATAAATATAATTATCTTTCTTATGACAAGTGTTAAATTTATACATTTATATTTTATGATGATAGCTTAAAAAGTAACCACGGTCTTAAAATCTTGAATCGGTCACTGCTCATGTCTATTATGTAACTTAATCTCAAAAAAATATAAACGGTCATGATCTTCCATGTCTATTAACTTTTTCTTTCTAATCAATCTAATTAGGAAAAATAATAATTTGTTCTAGCACCTTTATTTCAGTTCTCCAATTCAAAAGCGAAAAAGTCTTCATTCTCGCTGGTTTGCCTTTTTGGTAACTACAATTGTATGTGAAGGTATATTGTTTCTCCTCCTTTTTTTCTTGAACCCATCCAAATATTCCAATTGTCTATTGCATTGAATTGAAAAATAATAACGTCTATGCTGACGAATTTTAGCTCGCAATTATGCTCTTTGGTTGATATAAGTTAAAAATAGTGAGCACCCATAGCCGTAAATTTCTGGATTCACCACTGGGTAAAACACACTATTAAAAGAGACAACAGATAGAAATGGACGCAAACGTTGGAAAGAAATGTTATGCGGCATCCTACATTGCAATTTGTGTTCTATGTGGTATCCTACATATATTAAGTCACGTATGACTCATGTGTCTACTTGTTTAACCTTATACAAGTTTAAATATCTACGTATGCACACCTAAAATTGAAGAACAACAATATAAAATATAATCAAGTTAATAAACACATTTATATATTATGCCTAAATAAAATCACACACTTTAAAAAGTACGATCAGTCACATCTAGAAAAGACAAGAGAAGTGAAATATATGAAGTTAGATTGTCATTGAAGGCAAATTCAAATTTGTCACACTAGATTGTTTGTATGTAATATGAAATTATCATATTTATTTTAAATTTTTATTTGACTATGTAATTTAATATTTTTTAAGTTATATTACCATCATAAATATAAAAATTTCACAAGTTGTGAAAATTATCAAAAAAAAATTCTCAATTCTCTAATACATTTTTACTAAATGACTAAATTATAGTTCAAACCAAGATATTTGTGTATCTAAAACGCTGCATTAATAAATTGCACGTCTCAATGTTTTTTTATAAATAAATGTTTGCGACTACTAAGTTTCAAATATGCATAATTTTATTAAAAATCACTAATGAACAATAGTGGTAAATATATTTTATTTAATATAATTCTTTGATATGATAAGAACAATCTCTTCACGTCGAGTATTAGTCTGAAAATGCTCAAAACTATCCTTAACTTATTAGAAATGGTTCAAAAATGTCGTCCTTCCACCTTTGATTTAAAAATACCCTTAATGTTTGCTTTAGGTTAAAAAATATCCTTTAGTTAACAAAAATATGATGTGAAATTTAATTAAACAAGTGTTAATTTTCATTGGTGCATATAATTTTTATATCAAATTAAAAGACCCAACCATTTTCAATACGTTAAAGATCAAATTTTTACATTTTAAAAAATTAAAATCATAATCCCATGTTTAAACACAAGCTAAGTGGTGAAGAATTAAATTATATATATGAAATTAGTACTAGACTATTTTAACTCTAAAAGGTTCAAATTCTAAATAATAAGACCTATCCGCTGCGATATATTTTAAAATACGAAAAATATAATAAAAAATATTTTTAAATAATGAAAAATTATATTAAAATATAATCAGTTAATAGTTTAGTTCAAAAATGCATTTATTATTACTTAACTGGTCAAAGATATATTTTTCCTAAAAATATGTATTCATTTTTAAAAAAATACATTCTATTCCTATAAAATACTTTAGAGAATCATATTCTTTTTTCTTCTTTTAAAATTTCCTTAATTTGTAAATAAGTAGGAAATAATTTTTTTATTTTAAATAATCTTATTTAATCAATTAAAAAGGAACAACTTCAAATACCTTTTAAATTGATAGTATAGGTTTATATATGTAAGATCATGATAATCTCATCATTAGTTTAACTTAGACAACAGCATTCAAGTCTCTTACTCCTATTAAACTTAGTCTTAATAAAAATGGATAGAGGCACTGAAAAAGATCTCTTTGAAATTTAAAAATTCCCTTGCTTAAACGTAAGAAAGGACAATAATATTTTATTATATAAAATAGGAAAAAAGATTTTTCTTAATTTTTTTAAAAATAAAGTAGGATAAACATTTGTTAACTAAAATAATAATTATTAGAAAAAATATGTTTAAAACAAAACAAAAATTATTTAGAAAAGGGGTGTTTTTGACTTATTAAACTACTAAGAACAATAAAAATACTTTTGAATCAAACTATTAGTGACATGGATACTAGATCAAACTATTAACTAAAAATATTTTTATTTAATAATATAAAAGTTATTAGGTCTTATAAAAGTTATACGTGGCTCATTAATTAAGCGAAGTAGTGAGATGTAAAATATTTGAAAGAGAATAGTCAACAAATAGAGGAAATTATAGTCAACAAATAGATACTATGTGTTAATCAAAATATTTCATGAAGATATGTTATGTGATTTCAGAAGGGTTATCTTTTAACATCTGGATCAATTTAAAATTAATGGATGAAGTTTGATTAACTAAAATTAAGTTTCATACTTGCTCCCAAAATATTTTAAAATCTCATAATTTTAGTTAATACATACATTATATCATTCCTAAATATGATAAAACTTTATCTATTAATGGATGAATTTTGATTAACTAAAATTAAGTTCCATATTTGCTCCCAAAATATTTTACAATCCCATAATTTTAGTTATGCATTATATTATCATTCATTCTTAAAAATATGATAAAGAATTATCTTTTTTTTGCTTTGAGTAATTTTTTGCCGTACATCATTTTTTTTTATTCTTTAATATATTTAGCTTTAAAATCTCGTAAAATCCGCCCTTTTATGTATTTATTTTTATTTTTTTAGCCATCAAATAGGAGCAATCTTTAGGATCTATTTATATTCATTATTCACATTAGAAAATATAAAATATTAGAGGTAAACTCCATAATATATGTGTTAATAATATTTTTTCTTTTCATAATATAAATAAAATTTTATTTATCACAACTTTTGTTGGTCCCCTCAGGAATAATATAAAATTTGATGTTGAGTGTATAAATTATTTTGTCTTTAATTTAAAAAATATGTCGAGCCTATTTTAAAATATTTTTTGTTTTTGGCAAATATTATTTTGCATAGTTTATTATTACTAAAGTTGGAATTTACCCCATAAGATTTTAAAGCTAAATACAGTGAGGAACGAGACAAAGTAGCAAAAAGAAAAAAAAACGATGCAACCCAAAAATTTAACCAAAGGTAAGAAAGAAATATCTGAAAAGAGATAATGTATAACTAAAATTATGGGATTGTGAAAATATTTTGAGCGAAAATGTATGGTAGCAATTAATTATTTCAATCATTTTTCGACTTTATTTTAATTAATTTAATCTCATTCATCAATTTAAAACTATGATATGTGTTTTCAATCAAATAAGAACTCAAAGAGAACAATAAAAAGAAAATATCAAAGAGCCAAATCTTATTATATTGATCAAGTAATATATATATATATTACGACTATTGATCTCAATGAGTAGCCATTATTAAAGGGCACAAAGATAAACACAAAAAATTAGCAACCAATTAGAATTAAGAAAATAACTCCTAAAATCTTTATAAATGCTTAAATGTTTATCATGTTCCGTCAAATCTTATAAGTAATAAAAATAATAATAATTAAAAAACCCATGACTACCTCAAAGATCTAAGAGAGCAATTTTATTTGCTAATATTGCGAGAATTTAAGAGGACAATTCCAATTTCTGAAATTAATATATTGTAGAATATTTTTATTTTTCTTTTTACTCTGAAATTAATACGTAATGTTTAAGTATTTATTTTATATTATTTATTTATTTGAGTAGTTTTAGGAGATAAGTTGGTTTATGTGAAATGTGGTCCAATTAAAGAGGGAAACGTGGCAATGATGAGGTGTGTTGATAACTACGGGTACTATTTTGTAATTTTCATATTTACAAGGGTCAGGGGAAATTATTATAATTAATTAACTTATAGCTAGGCCGACACCCCTTTAGCCCTAAGTCTTTACTTTAACTTTGTACTTCTTCTGACACATTGCATCTAAAATTTCATCCACACAAAGTTCTCTCCTTCAAAATCTTCTCTCCTCGAATACACATCTAAAATCTTCTTCTTCATGGATCTTCAGCGATCCAGGTTTGTTTCCTTTATTTCTATTGTACAATCAGTATTCAATTTTTAGTGTTTTTTTCGACTTTGTTTTTGCTAGTAAGATTATCCTGATCCTGATTGTATTTTTCTATGTTTGGTCATCTTTACAGATTTTTCATGGATCTTGAAGTTTTGTTCCAGAATCCAGGTAAAAAAATTCTCTCCTCTTTATGGATACACAGATCTAAAATCTCCCCTTCTTCGTGGATACATAGATCCAGAAAAGAAAAAAAACCAATCTTGAATCACTGGTTATGTTGTTGTAATTTCAATCTTTGAGTAATCAATGTTTGTTTTTATAGTTGAAGCAATCAAGATTCAATTTTTATTGCTTTTTAAAGTTACTTCCAGATCTTGTTTGTTTTATAGATATAAGCTTAAAAACTGAAATCCAATTTCATTGCTCTTAGACACGCCCTTAAGTTCTAACCATATCTGTATCATTCTATTGGGCATAGTCTGTTCCAGTATAAACAGTTTGGCTTCAGGTTTCTCCTCATCTAGTGCTTCTCCTAAAGCTAATCTAGGCTTCTCCTAAAGGTTTTTTCTATGTTCATCTCTACAGGTTTTTCATGTTATCACAAACCTGGATCTGAAACTTTGTTCCTTTTCATGGATACAGATCTAATATATCTCCCACTCTTCAAGGATACATGATTCATAGATCATAATGGTAAGTTTTCTTGTCTAATCTTAACTCTGTATTTATATTAAAACATTCGTTCAGTATGTACAAAGAAGTGGTTTTTATGAGTCATTTGTCCATAAAATTTATTAGCAAATGAATGTCTTTGAATTAATTAGACCACATCCTATTGGGACTTAATTCTGTTCCAGCATACTATTTGTCTTCAGGTTTCTCCTAAAAGCCTCGGAAAAGCCACAGGTTCTCCCAATCTCACATACATTCCTAATAGCATGTAGCAGTAATCTCATCTAATATGTTTTGCCTGTACTGTCATGTTCTCTAGAGGTTGTAAGGTTGTAGGTTTCGAGAAATAACGCCAGGAAGATTATCTGATACTGATTGTTATTAGCTATGTTCATCTCTACAATTTTTCATGATACCACAAACCTGAATCTGAAATTATGTTCCTTTTCATGGATACAGATCTAATATCTCCCACTCTTCACTGATACATGATTCATATATCATAATGGCTAGTTTTCTTGTCTAATCTTCAACTCTGTATTTATATCAAAAGATTCATTCAGTAGGTATAGAAGTATGTCTTATAACATAAAATTAATTAGCCAATGAATGTCTTTGAATTAATTATGCTTGAGCCTAAGAATATCTGTTTCATTCTATTGGAACTTGTTCTGTTCCCGCATTCCTGCTTTCTCCTAAACCTAAAGGTTCTCCAAATCTCACATACTCATTATCTCAATTAATTTTGTACCGCCTTTACTTTTATATTCATAAATCTTAGCTAAAATGCACAAATCTTATTCAAGTTTGTTTTTTCTTCTTTCTGTCTACAATTTGACATGAAAGGAAATGTTGATTTAGATCAGATCTTCTCAAGTTTTCTTGTCTAATCTTTAACTCTGTAATTATATTAAAAGAGATATTCATTATGTACAAAATGTTGATTCAGAATCAGCACAAGAATTACGGTTTATGAAGAAGTGAAGAAAAATGACAGAAGTCAACACCAACAACATGCTGCCCCCAGCATATTATTTCAAGCGGATCATCCTTTGAATCCACACAAATTAGCAAGAACCTCATTCTGCAGAAAAAATCAGAGTAGGAACACTAACCTCTCTTACTGCTGTGACCTCTGTATGAGCTGTAGGGTCAGTATGCTTCAAACCCATCTTATGGCAGCTAACAACTACTTCATTATTGCAAACAACATTATTTGTCGTTTGTCATAAATTAGATATCTCTACTTAAGCATCATTTGAGAAGAAAACTACTCAAGCACTGCAATATCAAACAAATTCAAGCCCAATGAATGGGATGATGTACAAATTTCAACAAGATCTGAGTAGATTGAACACATTGCACTGGAAAGTTAAAAGCATTAATCCAAAGACATCACGACAGAATTACCGGATAAAGCATAGGTTTTGTTATTACTTCATTGAAAATCTCCCATCATAATCCTGATAACTACTTCATAGAAACATCCCCATCAATCTTGGCCACTAGACAGTGGTATTGTTCCCTCCCTTGCCACCATTTTTTCCTTGCTTGTCATTCTTTCCTCCCTTGGTAGCTGCTGCTTGAACATCTTTGTCATGTCGTGCCTGAAAGTACATGTATAAAAAACAGGGAAGTTCTATAATCCAATAAAACAATTGCATCATTACTGTACCTTAGTTCCTTTCTTGCACTTGGAAACATGGTCCATCAAAATACTCACCCAGCCTGCTTCAGTTGGAACAGTAAATCCGCATGTTGCACAAACATTACTCATATCTGAAACAGGAAATTTGTACAATTTGTCCATTCATCGAGGAAAGAAAAAAATTACATCCTGGAACTAGGAATATGAATGTAAACAGCAAATGCTCCCAGTACAAAAGCATTAGGTTAATCTTTTTTCCCCCAATTTATGGGACTCCCAGTTTACCATTTAAATAAGTAAAGATCTATGGAACTCCCAATTTACCATTTGAATCAATTGACTACAATCAAGCTTAAATAGATCAATTGAACTCCCAATTTACCATTTAAATCAATCGAACTACAATTACAAAAAATAGATCTGTGAAGATATCTTCACAGATATCTTTACTTATTTAGAAAAGATCTATGGAACTCCCAATTTACCATTTGAATCAATTGACTACAATCAAGCTTAAATAGATCAATTGAACTCCCCAATTTTACCATTTAAATCAATCGAACTACAATTACAAAAAATAGATCTGTGAAGATATCTTTACTTATTTAGAATTAAGCTAAATAGATCGAAGACGACGATCCTTACTGATTCAGAATCAAGCTAATTAGTTCGAAGAAGACGATCCTTACTGATTGGAATCTTTAGCTGATCGATAGGCAAAGAGGATGAAACTTGATTCGTGACCCCTCGAAGAACTTCTCTTCTCGCTGAATCGTCTTGTTTGATGATGATTTATGACCCTGAGAGATACATGGAAATAGAGTATTTTAACTCAAAGTCACTCAACTAATAGTTATTTACACCGAAAGTCACTTAACTTTCTTTTATTATCTCAAAGTCATTTAACTATATGAATATTTTATCTGTCACTTAACTATTGTTATTTTATTTTAAAAATCACCTAACCAATTTAAATATTTTTTCATTAAATTTAGCTGAAATACTATTACTATTTAACTATTTTTTTAAATAATAAAATATTCATTTAAGTTTTATTGATATACAATTTTTAAGTTTAACCAATCTCTTTAAAGAGATGATAACTATTAATACAAAAACAATAAGGTTCAGGCTGTAGCGTTTTTTTAAAGAAATTGAAAATGATGCATTCCATTAGCATACACCATTACTAGAGCTGGAAGCATTACATTATTTTTTTTAAAATTAAAATAAAACTTGTATTCCAACAAAATTTAATAAAACAATTCAAATAAGTATTTTAGTATTTCTAAAGAAATTAGTCCAAAAAAAAATTATGTTTCAATAAAATAACTAAAATGAGCATCTTATTTTTTTTTAAAATAAATTAGTTTAAAACAAAAACTTTAGTTAAATAAAATTTAATAAAATATAAAAATGAGCATCTTATTTTTTTTTTTAAAATAATTGAAAACAAAAACTGTATTTAAAAAAATGTAATTGGTGGGCTGACTTTCTAAATGAAATATCAATTGTTGGATGACTTTGTAGGTAGAATATTCATAGTTAAGCGACTTTGAGGTTATAAAAGAAAGTTAAGTGACTTTATGCGAAAGAAACTATTTGTTGGGTAGCTTTCTATGAAAGAAATATTAGTTGAGTGACTTTAAGGTTAAAAAGAAAGTCGAGTGACTTTCTATGAAAAATATATGGTCATTGTATACGTTAGAGTGTTCACTGATAATTGAGATCAAATTATAGTGTCTATCTACGTTGTAAGTTACAACCAGTATTTCAAAAGGCTGGGACGTGAGACGGGCGTTTGGATTAGAAAGCGTATAATTTAGAATAAGCAAAAGAAGCGAACATGGCAATATAAAATTTCGTACTTGGCTTTATTTTGTGTAAATGCGAATACTGAAAAGCAGACTACATGTTCAAATCTTTGTTTAAAAGAAAAAAAAAATATTACATTTGGTTGGCCAGGTAATGTGTTTACATGTAACGAATCTTTACACGGAACATATTCTCACAAGTTAAAGGTTTCAAAATATCTTTTTAGCCTATACACCTTATTTTTTTTAGCAACTTTCGCATATAGCTACTTAAAAATAGTCTAATTATACTTCATAGTTATAGATTGCTAATTACGATTCGTAGCTACATGTTATAGGGAGGAGAGTAGTGAGCGAGATTGGGAGAGGGAGGAGAGAGGCGAATTGTATATGTATATCGGTTAGATAATTGTATATTATACATATGTATTTGTATATATGGCAAGTGAGATTGGGAAAGGGAGGAGAGAGGTGAGCGAGATTGGGAGAGGGAGGAAAAATGCGAGTGAGAGATGGCAATAATTTGTATAATTCGCATATAGTTTATATAATTTGCGGATATGTTTGTATAATTCACGTGTTTTTGTATAATTGAGTAATATAAAGTCTAGAATTATACAAATATAATAAAACTCGAAATAACGAATTGATACAAACATAAACATACAGTTATACAAAATTCGAAAACTACATGTTTATACAAACTTTAAAAAGTTATACACAAAAAGATTGAATGTATATGGTGACAAAACTGAAAAATCAAAGGAAATCAACGTCATATACAAATACAAATCAAACGAATAATTGTTTGTAGTGAATTATACAAATATGACGAATTATACATACATGGTTAATTATACAAACTCGAAGTCAGCCCACATAATTAATAGTGAATGTTAGTCGCGAGTGATAATTATAGCAAACTATAACTATGCTGAGTAATTAAGTAGTATGAATTTATTTAACCGCGTAATGTTTTTATTTTTTTTATATGGAGTACCTAATATCCTTTACCATTGAGGGCCATTTATTCGTCCTAACACATGTTAAAAGATCAAACTTTGGTCATACCCAACTTCAAAAATCAGTTCACAAGGTGAAAATTATCCAAATCATATTCCTAAAAAGTTGATGTGGAGAAGGGAGACGTAAACCACTCATGTGGTCACTTACATGCATGCGTATTAAAACAGTAAAGTCTAATGATTAGAATCAATTCAGTCATTTGTCACTTCGATTCGCTTGAAAACAAATCATAATCAGCCTAGTTATAGATTGTTTCTATTCGAATCTGCATCCTTGGTCTTATTCTCCATCTGGTCCGAGTCACCACTCTCTCTGTTTCGCTTCTGGTGTGCAATATCAATGAAGAAATCAGTCAGCACAGTCTCGAATTGGGGCATCTTAGCATAACCAGGGAAGTAATTGACATCAATTACAAGATATCGAGTTCCAATTCTACTGTCCCTTAGCATATCAAAGTTAAATAGATGCAGCTTCAGAGCATCCCTCATCCGATTAGCCACTTCGTTTACAAAGCTCAAAGGCGGCATTTCTGCCGCCTTGATGAGCTCTGCAAAATTCTCGTGATCGCTCTGATTTTGAGCAGAAAAATTTGATACCTGGTAATTCTCTGAGGTGCTAGTGTTCAGTTTTTCTTCAGAGATATCGGTTAGTGACTTCCTTTTCACGCATTTCACGTGATCTCCTGCTACATAAACTTTGAAAATGACTCCACCGTGGTTCACGAATTCCTGTAGTACAATTGGAGGGTTTAATTTTGTTAATCCTTTTTGGTTTAGGATTAAAGACAATTGGTGTGAATTCGCAGCGCCATCTGCTATCAACGGCTTGGCAATTAGGGGAAACTTCAAGCCCTCACGAGTCATAGCGTCCTGCAGAGATTCCGATGAATCGTCCGAAACGAAAACCTGCAAAGCAATTATTGAAGATTACAATCTAGAGGTATCGATACGAATCTCTAGATACTAAAAATGCATAAATAACTAATTTCGAACTCTGTAAACTGTCGTGTTTTCAAATTCAGAATCTATAAACTTAAATTCTGAATCCGCATACTCTCACTTTCCCAACTCTCATAGGTGGATTTTGGCTATAACAAGGGAGGTTCAATTGAAAAATTCCCCCTTTCCTCCTAAATTCTCTCCAACGTAATAGAATTAAAGAAAACCTGTAAAGGAGTTTCGAGATGCTCGATTTTCAATTCGTTGACGAATTCGAGCATAGAGACTCGATTCTGGAGCTTCTCGACGGCATTTACAGGGTCAATTATGAGTGTAGTAGGGCTCTGGAGGGAGAATTCTTCGAGCTGTTTCCTCCACTCTGTGTCATATAGCTTGTGAATGACGCAGTCGAAGGGACCTTGTTCGATCAATGGCTTGTCGAGATCGATGGGGATGAGATCAACGCCTCGATCTCGGGCATGAATGACCAGAGAATCTTTCATAAAGGTGTTGATCTTTTGAGATGAAAGAGCGTAACCGATAAGAAACCTCTTTCCTGCTAGTGATTCAGACATGGTTAGCTGCACCACAAATGAATAGTTGTTGAGAATGAGAGATGAAAAGCCAAGAAATGATGCAATGAAAAGAAGCTAAAACAGAGGGATTATGAGTCAATGCACAACATGCTAATGGTATTTGAATATAAAATATGACCTCCAACTTAATTTTATATTTGTGGAGATTTCTATGTTATAAAAATAAGTTGAAGTGTCTAAATACTCATACTTAAAATTAAAATGTTTGACCTATAATTGCGATCAAATTGAAGTTTCTATCTATGTTACAAGTTGCAACAAAGAAACATAGCAATAGAAAATTAATAGCTTTGATTACAAAGTGTATAATTTAGAATAAGCAAAAATAGAGAACATGACGATATAAAATTGGTACTTAGCTTTATTTTCAAAAAGTACAAGTGTAAATGCGAATACTGAAAAGCAGACTACATGCTCATATCTTCGTTTAAAAGAAAAACGGAAAAAAATTACACTTGGTGGCCAGGTAATGTGTTTGCATGTTACCAATCTTTTAAGCGGAATATATTCTTACAAGTTAAAAAGTTTCAAAATAACTTTTAGTCTAATACACTTTATTTAATCTTTTATATATATAATATAATTTTTCAATAAAGAATATTCGACTGACCACTCTTTACTGTCTAATAAATGGGCAAGAGTGGCCACATATCTAGATCTTTAAAGATGCACCCACGAGAGCTATTTATTCAGATTGTACTAACACACTTTAAGAAAATCGACTTTGGTCATACCAAACTACAAATTAATCCATAAGATGAGAATTATCCAAATCATAATAATAATAAAATCATACTATTGTTAACGAGTTGATGTGGGACTAAAAAAGACATCCTAGTTGAGGAGGGAGACATCAACCACTCGTGTTGCATCACAAGTCACGTGATTACTCATTATATAATAATCTATCGTAACACAAAAGGTTTAAGATCACATCCTCATCTATACTAAAAAAATACCCTTTCATCTTAGTTATGAAAACTAAAAATATTTCTCTTGAAATATGTGTTATTTTATAAAATTAAGATAAAATTAATTCGCCTTTAATATTAAGTGATCTTAAAAGTAACCCTACTTGATTACATAGCATAGATTTGTAAATTTAAAGAGTTCAAACCAGTATTTGTTAGTTATGTAAAATTATTCAAATACCAACCAGATTTCCTTACCCTTAATCTTAAATAAAGTAAATATTTATTGTAGAGAAATAAAAGTGAATTAATAAGTTTTTTTTTTTTTTTTTTACTATAGTGTATAAAAAACATTTTTGAAAAAGGATAACGTGACATTTATAATTAAAAAAAACAGAAGGACAAAATTCTATAAACCTCTAAAACCCTAAACCCTGTCCCTGCTCCGCCCTTCAACGCTCTTTCAGAGAACTGGCACACAAATCTTCACAATTTACACATAGTGGGTGGTGTTCGTGAATTTCGCTGCCCCAAAACAAGAGGAAGAAAGATACTAAAATGGCGTCAGTATCATTGAAGAAGAGTTACAAGTGTGTGCAGTCTTTGCAGCAGTTTTATACTGGTGGGCCTTATGCGGTTGCTTCAGATGAATCGTTTCTTGTATGTGCGTGTGATGAAAAGATAAAGATTGTCGATTTATCAAACGCTTCGATAAAATCTACAATAGAGGGTGATTCTGAAGCAGTGACAGCTCTTGCTCTTAGCCCTAATAATAATATCCTCTTTTCTGCTAGTCATAGCCGACAGATTAGAGTTTGGGACCTTTCCACGCTGGAATGCATACGCTCCTGGAAGGTAATAATCTTGAAGTTTTTAGCTTTACTTGTTTATGATACAAGGTATTGAGTAGGGGAATTGAACTGGTCTAGTTGTTGTCTGGATTAGGGAATGTATTGTATCATACTGTATTGTTTAGTGAAAACAACCTTTAGATAGATTATATCGTTTTCCCGTTATACCTAATGTCATACATCAATAATTTGAATAATAAACCTACAAGAAAAGGGTATTTAGTAGAGAGCTACTATAAAAAGTATTGAATAATAAGTAAAGATAAAATGAGAAAAATGTAGTAACACAAGGAAGCGATCACACCAAATCAATTATTACTCAAAATGAGACTTTTCATCCGTACGATAGAATAAAATTTAAGCAACAATCAAAACAAACATTGTATTTAGACTAACGACAAAATACAATGAGTAACAACCATCTAAACAAGTTGTTAGTAGGTGGGATAGCTAGCACAGTATTTGCTGTTCTTTCTAACTTGAATGTTGACATGTGTCTTTTACAGGGGCATGAAGGACCTGTAATGGGCATGGCTAGCGATGCATCAGGTGGATTGCTGGTGACAGCTGGGGCTGACAGGAAAGTTCTTGTGTGGGATGTCGATGGAGGCTTCTGCACTCATTATTTCAAAGGTCACAAGGGGGTTGTCACCAGCATTATGTTTCATCCTGACCCGAATAGGCTGCTGGTGAGATTTGGATTGTTATAGTTATTGGCTTGCTTTCTTGTCATATTGAACATGTAAAAGAATCACATTTTTTCAGCTTTCTGCTTACATAGTTATACCAGGGTAGAGTGTTTATTTCCTGGTTCATTGGGGCTTCCCGTATTCCTTTTTCTTTGCCATGATTTATTTTGTGCTTCCTTTGAACATATTTGAGGATTGGAAGCATTTACTGTGCTACATGGACCCAGCTACTGCTACATTGCCAATACGAGTGTGTATAACTATACCGTATGACTGAGGGCATCATTTAGCTAACTTTAGTGATAATACTCAAAAGTATCAAGCCTGTGTACAATTACTCAACATGAGTACGTCAAGGCAAATGAAATATCTATACCGTTGTGAAAATAATATCATCCATTGTCACTGGAACATTCATTTTTTAAATTACAAATTGCACATCAAGGAAGTTGATTCATCCTCCTAGATTTTATTGTGTCATTTTAAAAAAAATAAAATTGATATGGATATCCATTGCACATCATTATTTTTTTTTTGATAACCGAGAAATCCGTCTGTGACCCGCCCTTTGGACCAATCACAGCCTTCTAAACTCGGTGGATAATGGGCCCGCCCCTCTACCCTTCTCCACTTAAATACCGGGCTTCACTTTGCATGGTGTGGGGCTTGAACCTGTGACCTAAGCCACAAATCCTCCACCTTTTGCCACTTGAGCTTATCCTCTGTGAATTTCACCTTTCCGGTTCTAAGCCCGGATAAAGAATGAGGGTTGCAAACTGTAGAGGGTCAACCACCAGCAAAAAACTAGTCAAATTATGATAAATCCTCACAATAAGAATGGATATACTAGATTCATGTAGTCCACTTCAACTGAGATTTTGGTGTTGTAGTAGTTGTTATATGTATATCCAATTTTCTCATGATGCTCTAATGGTCTCTCTTGTCATTGTTTCAGCTGGAAATGGTGACTCTTTAACAAGTCCATGTCAGCCAGGGCTTTTGTCTTGTAAACTTTTCTTTTTTTAATGATGTTAGAGCTTTCTAGACTAGTATTAGAATTCGAGGATGAAAATACAGGAGTTGTGAAAATCTCCCTTTATTTAGCTGGTGAAGTTTTTGTTTCTAACAAATCACTGAGGTTGAGCGTTTTTATTGTAGCTATCTATTAAGAAGCTTTTGTTATGTAGTTGTTAATTGAGTCATTTGCTGTACTTGCTCCCCATATTTACTAAAATAAGTTTCTTTTAATTATGTTGTGGTGGACATGCTAAATTCTACCCTTTTTGTCTCTGGTTTCTCTCTGTCTTCTTTTCTTCTGGTTGAACTAATTGGCTCATTGTTTATGTGTATGTCTATAGCTGTTTTCTGGTGGTGATGATGGTTCTGTAAGGGTCTGGGATCTGACAGGTAAGAAATGTCTGTCAACTCTAGAGAAACATCAATCAGCTATCACTTCCATGGCAATATCTGAAGACGGATGGACTTTGCTTAGCGCAGGGAGAGACAAGGCATGTTCTCCTTTCACTCATCTGTTTTTCCCATTTTTATATTTTAGCGGGGCAAGTTGAGAAAAGCCTGATTGCTTCTGAGGTCATAAATAAACTAATGTGGACTACAGGGAGATTAGCTTTACTCATCTCAAGGCCTTTAAATTTGAATACAAGAATCTAAGCAGAGTGTAGTAGCTTGCATCACGCAATGTATAAGCTGGCTTAGGCTTCTAACTATCCTAACAGAATTCGTCCCCCAAAAAAGAAAAATCTTGGGTTTCCAGATTGATATTATGTTATCAACAAAGAAAATGTCACCTTTCAGAATAGAAGGCATGAACATACACCTAACAATGAATTAAACTCCTTTTTCCTTTTTTCGTTTTGGAGGGAACTTACTTGTGAAGGTATGCTTATAAAAATTGGATCCACAAGGAGTTGTGTACCCAATCCCCCCAATTCTGGCATGGCTGTAATTTAATCATTTTTATATCTTGGCCTTGCTGAGAACCAGGTAATTTCTTAGATTTTTTCATGCTGGCACAGAAATCTTATCTGTTTGCCAAAACAATGCCATCTTAGTTGTTAGATGGCCTATATACATGCTAGTGGAGACTTCTATCATGCATATTACCAATCAAATGTTTTTGTTGAAAGTCATCAGCTTGAAAGTGCTTTTTTCTTCTTTTTCTGATTATTCTTCATGATGACACCTTGAGTGCCAATTAAAACACTTTCTGATACTAAGACTAATGACAGGTTGTAAATTTGTGGAACTTACATGATTATGGCTGCATGACCACCATACCAATGTTTGAGTCACTTGAAGCAGTGTGTATAATTGGTCCAGAATCTCCTTTTGCTGCATCCCTGTCTTCGTTGACATATCCACAGACAAAGAAGAGAAGTGATGTACCATCAATTAATTTCATCACTGTTGGCGAGCGAGGATTGGTTCGGATATGGAGTGCTGATAGGTACTTGGTAATCACTTTAAAGTTCTTAATATGATCTAAAATTTAAGCCAGTCGAAGCTTGAAAGATGCAGTAATTTTGCTCTTTAGTTGCCTTCTCGGATAGCACTTTCTCTAATCTATTTTTTCTGAAAGTGTTACTTTTTTTGGTTGATTTTTCTTGCCGAAAGTAACACCACTTGTCACGTGCCACTCTTGTTATATACTTTCTTGAAGATGATGAATTAGAGATACATTTTCAATGCTAATGCTTACAGTTTATAAATCAGTATATGCCCCAAGCCTTATTAGTAGACATTTCAGTCATGTGATTTCTGCATTTTTGTAAGAGTCCATGACAATCTAAAACAAAAAGTAGGTGAAAACAAGATGCATGGTTTGTGAAAATCTTGATAATTAACTTTTGGGCTCTTTACTTTAATTGTTCTAATTAAAATCTGGTGAGAGAG